TTCTCTGCTAACGAGCATCTTGCTGAAACATCCTTGAACTGAGTGTGTGTTGTCGCCAGGCACACCTTCGAGTACCATAATGGACTTGACCGAGGACTACAAGAAGAAGACACGCGAGTCGTTTGGCATCTTTTTCTTGGGCAACAAAAGCCATTGCGGTCAGTCGGTCGTCGGCATCAGTCTTGGGTGCCGTTTTGCTCATTTGCTGTCGTAAAGTGTTCGTTCGCAAGAAGGCGTTCGTTTTTGTGTCGCAAGTAGGCATTTGTTTTTGTGTCACATTCATTTTAGGTTCACACGAAGGCGTTCGTTTTTGTGTCGCAAGAAGTTTTTTTTTTTTCTCCCCCGTTTTCTTGCACAAGCTATTTCGGTGCCTTTCGGGAAGACTTTCACCTGCGTCTTAGGACTGTCTGACCCATGCTCGACCGCCGTTGGCACAAAACTATTCTCCACTTCAGTCTTCGAAGCTCTCGTTCGAATATTTGCTACTATCATCGAGATCTGCACCCGCAGTTGGCTCCACCCGGGCTTGCGCCCTAGGCATCCGCCCTAAGCATCCGCCCTAGGCTTCCGTTGAACAGTGGTATCAGCTGTTTCGGCATTATGGCACTTGACCCGAAGCTGATACTACTGTTCAACGGAAGTGATTCTGGACAGTCAGTAGTGGAATGGTTGGAGAAGGCAAAACTAATATGTCAGTTGAGCGGTGTGAAGCAAATTGAGTGTGTTATCCAGATACGTTTGGCAGGTGGTGCATATGCTATGTACCAGCAATTGAGTGAGGAGGAAGCGTGCAGACTTCAATTGCGTTAAGAAAGTGTTATACACAGCTTTCACCTTAGATCCCTTCTCCGCGTGGAAGCAGTTTGCAGCACGCTGCCTTCAGCCAGGGGAGATGGTTGACATCTTTTTGGCAGATCTGCGCAGACTCGCGGTTCTGTTTGGTGGCATATCAGAAAAGTGTTTACAGTGTACATTCATTGCTGGATTGCCTAAACATGCAGAGGAGCTTTTAAGAGCGTCATCCCAGATGGAAGACCTGGATTTGTCACATGTGTTGGCACGAGCTCGCGCTATTTTGAAGAAGTGCACTGGTCCTATGGAGCAGGCCACAGTGGCTGCACAGCTGAAGGAAACAGATGTGCACACGAGGTGCTATAAATGTGATGGACCCAATCATAGGGCGAGCGATTGTCTCCTGGGTCGTGAACCATCCAAAGGTGCTGGTACCAAGCACCGACGGACCATCACTTGTTATCGATGTCATCGGCAAGAGCACATTGCTCGGTGTTGTCCGGGAAACGGGCAAGGGGGCGAGAATTCAGCACCAATCTCCTCCCCAAAACCCTTGTAAATGGTGCATTGCCTGTAATGACAGTTTGTATCAATGGAATACCACATATAGCTTTGGTGGATACAGGATGCACACAGTCACTAGTCCGCAAGTCATGCTGTCGTGCATGGACAAGAAAATCAATACGTGTGCTTACAGTAGACAGAGGCGCACTTGACTGCTGTGGAATCGAAGTGGTACAAGTTAGCGTTGGTTCAAAGCTGTCCATCGTTATGGAAGCCCTAGTCGTGGATGGAGACCTGCTTGGATTTGACTTCCTGCTCAGACTAGATGCCATCAAACAGTTGGGAGGAATATCTGTAACTGGCACCGGTGAGGTGAAGTTTCTTCAGTGCGTCGAACCAGTCGTTGCTGCCATTACCGAGCCTGACTTTAAAGTAGAATTCAATGAGACCACTCGGAGGTGGACTATATCTTGGAAATGGGCTGGCAACCAACCTCTGAGTACGTTAAGAAATAGACTGGCAGAATATCCAGCTCCCGCACAAATTCGGGAGGAGTAAGATCGGGAACTCCAGATTTGGATAGATAACGGCTGGCTGCTTCCTTACCTGGAGGAGGAACTCTGACCCCCAAAGGTTTAAACCCCCTCATGGCCATTCTGCAGGAAAACAAACAGAAGGTTCGGCCAGTTATGAACTATCAGGAACTCAATGAGTACGTTGACGCGTATGCAGCCAACGCAGATGTTTGTTCACAAAAATTATGGGAATGGCGTCAGCAAGGACCAAATGCTGCAGTGCTGGACCTACGCCGGGCCTATCTGCAGGTACACATTGACAAGTCCCTTTGGCCATTCCAAACAGTGGAGATTAAGGGACAAAGGTATTGTCTAACCTGCTTAGGATTTGGGCTCGATGTTGCCCCTTTAATCATGTGGGCCATTGTTAATACCGTCTTGAGCCAGGACGAGATTGTCAACGTAGCCTCCTCCTCTTATATTGACAACGTTTTTGTTAATGAGAGTGTGTGTTCTGTGGTCCACATCAAGGAACATTTGGAGCAGTTTGGTCTGTCAAGTAAGACCCCGGAGCGGCTAAGAATTGACACACGCATACTGGGATTGCATGTCTGGGAGGAGCAAGGAAAACTGCAATGACATCGTGGATGTGAACTTCTGGTAGTCCCCGATAAACTTACCCACCGAATTGTCTTTTTGCTGTTGACTGGTCATTTTCCTGTATGCGGTTAGGTTATGTGTTGCCACGGCATTTGTGAATTGGAGGGCAAACACTGTTACCACTGGATGAGACTATGAAGTGCAGGACCCTTTTCTAGCCCAGATGATCGACGACATTTTTAAGAGACTAGCCCAGGACGATCCAGTGAAAGGTGACTGGTGCATCAGTGAGCAAAATGTAACTGTGTGGGTAGATGCAAGCTCCTTAGCCACCAGTGTGGTTGTGGAGAGCAATGGTGCCGTGGCAGAAGATGCAAGCTGGCTCCGACCGGTGCCGCGAGACAAGCACATCAACTTGGCTGAGCTCGATGCTGTGTTGAGAGGTGTCAACCTTACATTACAATGGAAGGCCAAAACCATTAATTTACGGACAGACTCAGCATGTGTGCATCACTGGGTAGCTGACACTCTGTCCGGACGGATGAGAGTGCGCACCAAGGCAGCCTCTGAGATGCTAATTAGACGTTGGCTAGCCACACTCCAAGAGTTGGCCTTAGAATATGAGCTGGACATTGATGTAGAGCTCGTCAAGTCATGCAACAATCGAGCTGACCAACTTACTAGAGTACCGCAGCGATGGTTAAATGAAATGCGCAAAATAACGGAACCCAGAGAACCTATGTGCGCTGTGGCTGAAGAGCGAGATGTTGCTCAAGTACGAGCCATTCATCAATCCAGCGGACATCCTGGTGTGAAGAGAACACTATTTTGTGAAGTTGATCGATCGACCAAGAGTAACAAAAGCTGATGTGCGGCGGTGATTAGGGGATACAAGGGAATGCCAACAATTGACCCGGCCCTGTGCGTTGAAACCGGGCAGGCTTGATGTCGAGAGAAAATTGGCATTTCGGACATCAACTATACCTGACGCTGATAGACTGCAGCCCCAGTCGTTTTGCCATTTGAAGTCCTTGCGCCGCCAAGACTCTGCTAGCATCATCAAGGAGCTGGAAGTAGTGTTTTTGTGAAAGAGGGCCGCGCGGTTGAGCTGCTTACGGATAATGGCGCAGCGTTTTGTGGAGAGAGGTTTGCAGTGTTTGCAAAGATGTGGAATGTACAAATACGATTTTGCTGTGTCCACGTACCATCGGGGAATGGGATAGTTGAGAGATCCCATCGCACAATAAAGCCCATCTGGCGAGAACACGGTGTTCAGTTTTGGAAGCTGTATATTGGCACAATGTTACCCCAAAGGACAATAAAACAGCTTCAACTGCTCCGGGCGAATGCAACCTACACTTACAGGGTCTGCATTAAGGGTATCGACGCAGCTTTGGTGCGTGGTGACACAGTTGCCAATCCTTATCCGGTAGGAGAGACTGTATGGGTGAAAAATCTGCCAACGGAAGGTGTAATGACACAGTTCAACAAAGGGTACGGTGACACAAATTAATAGCCCTCCGTCTCTGTTGATGGAATACTGCGTCACATAAAAGATGTGCATCCAGCGTGCGAGAAGGATTATTCCGTCAGCAACCACGTTAGTTCTTCTTCTTCTGATGAAGTTCCGATGGTATATATATATAAAATCACAGGAAGAGCACACCTCAGAGAGTAGCGTGCCTGATGTAACTATGCAGGATGAGCTCAGCGAGACGTCTGAAGAGAGCACCAGTGAGGAAGCGCTTGAGACCATAACACTGAGACGGAGCACCAGGCAGAAAAGGCCTGCCCCACATTGCCATTTGTGTGATCTAGAGATCAGGGGAGTGTAACGAGCATGCTCGAAACGTCCTCAACCGCGGTGTGTGTTGTCGCGGGCACACCTTGGAGTACCATAATGATTTCGACTGAGCGCTACAAAAAAGAAGACGCCGTAAGTAGTTTGGTGTCTTTTTCTTGAGCGACAAAAAGCCGTTGCGGTCGGTCGTCCGTCGGCAGCAGTCTTGGGTCCATTTTGCTGTTTGCTGTCGTAAAGTGTTCGTTCGCAAGAAGGTGTTCGTTTTTGTATCGCATTCGTTTCATGTTCGCAAGAAGGCGTTTGTTTTTGTGTTGCAAGAAGTTGTTTTCAATCCCCCCCTGTTTTCTTGCACATTCTCTATTATTTCAGCCTCATCCTACAGGTGGTGGTGGTGGTCTCCCTTTTCCATCTATGCATTGTGAATATGGCAATGTAGATAAAGATAACAGTCTGAATAATGTAAACAAAGTAAATAAACCATTGTCTATGTTTTGAAATTAACAAATAAATCCAAACACAAACATTTATAAAATACACTATTTTTTTCATTTTGCCCAAAAGCTGTAATAGTTGAATGCAAGAATGTAGTTTAAGAATAACTAAGTGCCTAAAATATTTAAGGCAAAAGTTTTTTTTCAATATAAAGTTCTTGAAAACATAAAAATAACTGAAAAGGCATCAGAAGGAGTAAAATAAATTAATTTTAATACTGATGATTCATGCTTTGATAAAATCATTTGTAATTTTTCTGAGAAAAAAAAATGTTGATATGTAACTGCTTTACTTACCATGACTGTGATGGTTAGAATACATGACATGAACCCCTTCAGGAATGATAACAGCTAATGCTGTACCAATCAAAAGGCCTGTGCCTAAGACTGGAACTATTTTTACTTTTGTCTGAAATGATAAATAGATATTAAAAACATAAAATATATTAAACACAAAAATGGGGATTTTTTTTTTATCTTTCCATTGTAAATAAGGAGAAAGTAAACAGGCAAGTATTTCAAGCTCCATGAGCTCAATATGTTCAAGATGCAGTGAATTGAGGTGGTTTCTATAAGAGAGAAAAAGATACAACTTGCAGATATTGCACATACTAGGGTTGTTGAAAATTTCTCAGCCTAATCAAGAATATCTTCCAAAAGAAATGATGTCTGCTTAGAATTTTGGGAAATCTGTTGGGTTGTAAAAATTTAAACAGCATTCATACAAGCAGAAAAAAATAATTACATATAAGCTTTGTACCAAATGAACCCAACTAGTAATTAACCAAAATTAATAGGATGGTTGATGGATAAGTAAGGTCTTCTATCATGTACAGTAGCTAAATATTTGAAGATGTATTCAGGAGTGTATAAAATATACTTAGTGTTTGTTCATTGTATGATAGCACAAAGTAATAGTACTAAGTTTGTTATGCATAAAGCAGTAATCAGAAAGGCATTTATACAGAATCTCTGCTAGTGATGATTAATTCAAGCAGGTATTGTGAAAACATTGAGTCTCCAGAATGAAACCCGAAAGAACTTTTCTTTGCATCATAAAAATGAAAGGCTATTCTGTAAATGCAGCCTTTCATGTGGCACAAACAGTAAGTTCATAGTTGTTATACATCATCCATACAGCTTGAATTTTGCAACATCAAATTTATGATTGTTTTTAAAACAGAAAGAAGCATTCAATAGTCAATATTTTTCACACAATGCCAAACTCGAAGTTGCTGTGTGCAATTGAACCAAATTGACAGAGTTGGTAGTTTACAACTTTTGTGGGCTATTTAAAGCTGGAAAATATGTGGGATTGCAAAAACTATTTTTTTTTTTTTTTTGGTGAGTGAATTTTGTATTAATAATCTTTTGAGAATAACAATGATTTTTCCAGACACATGTCCTACTATTTAAACCATAGTGGTGAAAGGAGATTCATACCATTCCCATGGTTATTTGCGCATAAGTGAATATAAAAAAACTAGAATTCAAACTCGGCTCTGTTTTCTCATTCATAGACACTATCCATTACACCACATTGCACATCTATGTGCAACTGGATTAAAAATAAACCAAAATCTTTCTTCCTCAACAGAATTATTTTCAATGGTCTAAAACTTGATTTGTAGGATTGGAAACTTTATCAAACAATTCTCATATTTATATAATCATTATTACATAAGACAAAGAAATACATGTTCAACTTTAACAATCATAGACTTGACTGTTTAATATTTAGTCAATTTCTTTATTTTGGCAAATATACAAGGAAATTTGTTTAATCAATGTTTAATAACATGCAGTGTTTCAGAAGTAGAGACAAAAACTGACAATTTATATTATAGAATTCAATAAAATGACATCCAATTTATATAGACTGATTTGTATGCATTCAAATATATAAATATTCATCCTCAGATAATCCTAAATAACAATTTTAAAATATACATATTTTTACTCATGACAGTATTAAAAATATAAAACTTTTCTTTGTATTTAAAAGCCATTCATTTTTGTCACAATATTTTTAATTTATATGGACAAGAAATACCCATGAAAATTCCACATTTCCTATTTGAATTTTCAAATGAATCTTAATTCTTAAGTGAATGACAGAATACGCTCAAGATGAGTTCTACAACAATAAAATATCCATAAATATTTGAGGTTAACAACTTTAAGAAATTATTGTAAAATCAAAATACAAATGCTGGTCATTATTTTTAGAAGTTGGTATATGAAAAGATTTTTCCATTTTACTGAAGCAGTTAAAGACTATCTTCCCTTACATTTTCTCACTGAAACCAAATAGCATAAATAAATCTTTTGCATTTTTTCACTTGATCAAAACAGAATAGTCCATTATTTATGAGGTATTATATAAGAAATACCTGTTGAAAATATGAGGGTCATTCAAAAAGTTCTAAGCTTCACCCAGAAAGAGTTGGAGAAAGAAGACAGTTTTTCACAATTTTTCAATATAGGTGTCCTTGACATCAATACACTTGGTCCAACAATGCTTAAGCATTACAATCCCATCACAGAAGAAGGTAGCATCCTGGTCCTCCACGGTACATATTATATCATCATTGTTTCTAAAATGCTGACCACACAAGTGGGATTGGAGTTTAGAAAACAGGAAAAAGTAGGATGGAGCTAAGTCTGGTGAGTAACAGGGAAGGTATAGCAATTCAAAGTTACTGTAACCTGAGCAGTATGAACAGGTACATTATCCTGGAACAAGAGCACACATGCCCTCAGCTTCCCTCTGTGTTTTGACTTGATTGCTTCCTTCAGTTGTCTTAGTTTTTTCCCCCTTTTTCAGGTAGCCTACTATGATTATGCTTTCAGAATCTAAAAAACAGAAGCTGCTTGCTTGAATTTTGGGGGGGGGGGCAGAACAAGAGTGTGTTTCCACCATTTGCTTTGAATCTTTGATTCTAGTTTGAAATGGTGAACCCAAGTTTCATCTTTAGTTACTAATCTAAGGTGGAAACTCTCAGGTTTAGCCTGGAAGTGAGTCAGAAATGTCCTGGAAATGTCTACCCTTTTCAGTTTCTGCTGATGTCAACATTCTTGGGGCCCATCTTGCAGACAGCATTCCAAAAATCTCAGTTAAAATAGTATGGGCTGAACTAGAATTAAAACCTATGGACCTAGCTATCAGCTGGGCAGTAAGACATCTGTCATCCAAAACCATATGGCGAATTATATCAATTTGTTCATCAGTGGTTTAGATTTTTGGATGACCTGACTGTGCTGTCCCTGCACTGCTTGAATTCCGCAGCCCACTTTTTACAATTGCATAGTGTTCGTACCAAGTCCTCATGGATTTTCTTGGGTGTCATACATATTTTTTGCAGATGCTTTATGACTGCTCTGGCCTCTGTTTTGTCCATTTTTAGATTTGTTGTGCACCTCTCACCTTTGTATAGGCCTCATCTGCACAGAAATTAAGACAAATCTGAATTAATTTTTCTAGTTTTATAAGTAGTAGTAGTGTGTTGTCACAACAAAAATGTTCAGTTATGGCTCTTCTTTCTGGGTGATTCTTAGAACTTTTTGAATGACACTCATAAAAACTAAAATAAAAATTTATTCCAAATATCAGCTCAATAAATAAATAAATCAATGTTTTAATTTCTAATAATTAAATAAATTTATAAATCTCATAGTGAGAAAAAAGCTAAAATTATCCAAAACTAAAAATAATTTATTTTCAAAGAATTTAAAAGGTCTATTTCATAAATTAACTTATTTCTATTCAGTGATTTTCTCTTATAAAATTGTTGTGGCTGGTCTTTAAAAAAAAATTAAGCTTCTTCAGTACATTTTAACAATTATTTAATATTTTTCAATTTAAAAAAAGTTAGTTACAAATGAAAAAGGTAAATATAGAAAAGATAGTCTTACAATTTTGTAGCTGAAGATATTACTATCATTTTTTTTATAATTAAAATTAGGTCAAGCTGTAAATAATAATCTTTGTCACTTTTTAAAATACCTTATTCTAATATTCCACTAAGTTTGCCATTTTTTCATAAAAATATTTTACCAGCATTTCTTTTAACTTTTGTGACACAAAATACTTGAATTTAGCAATTTCCAGTTTGTATGCACACTCCATTAAGCAAGTAGTCAATGTTAATGGTCAGGCAATTGAGGATGACAATTCAGTAACATTAGATTGAGAGGCATATACAAGCTATAAAACCAACCATAACTGTCAACCTAATTGCTGACTAAAATATTTTAAGGATTTTAATAAAAGTAAAAAATATAGAAATTAATATAAATTGTGAGAAATTGTTACACTCCTGAAAAATAAATAAAAAAAATAGAAAGCTATATGTTGATCTGAAAATAAAAAATGTATGGAAAAAAAAAAAACTTCAATAGACAAAAAAAGACAAAAAAATATCTAAAGGTTGGCTTGTGTCTACATTTGCTGTCAACTGGGAAGATTACATGAGAAATTCACTCTTAAGTGGAAAAGCAAGAAAAAAAAAGATAAAATAAAATAAAAGTGATGTTAAAAAAGTTAAATAATCAGTATTAGAAAATAAACTGCTATCTATGCAAGGTGAGTTCACGTGGACATTTTGATTATTTTCACAGCTCATGAAAAGTGCTTTTGTTGTTTCCTCCACCTTGTAACACTTATCAAATAAAGAAAATATTTAACAGAAGAGCAAATAATTGTTAACTGAAACAAATAAAGTTTTCATGAGAAATGATAAAGGAAAACAGAGAAGTGTGAATAAAGATAAATATTGTCAAGTAAGCAAGGAGCATTTCAAACAATCTGGCAAGAGTGTGTATATATATATATATATATATATATATATATATATATATATATATATATAAATATATTTGATAATCTGTTAAATACACCAATAATTAATCAACATATGGAAATTATCATTTTATTAGTTTTGTTCTACATCATTATTTTTTTTTATCCAAGCACTTAGTTTATATATAGTATGACTAGTGTGTGTGTGTGTGTGTGTATATATATATATATATATATATATATATATATAGTATCACAAATAAATGAGTATACCATACTATCTCTTTTCTTTTAGAAAGTTAAATATCTTCTAAAACAAACAGAATTTTATTATTTCTAGTGAAACATTACACAATTAAAACCAATATTATCAGCTATTAAAACTGGCTGTGGATGTTGCTAATGACCTCAAAGATATGTGCTGTGAAGGTTTCTATAGCAACAATCGAACATACCCTGAACAAGATCAGCTTACACGACAAATTACTGTGTAAGAAATTAGTAATGAAATCAAGAAACAA